AGGAAATTATATGATAATGATGGACATATATAATCAAAAATCATTACAGTCCTTTTAATGGAGAGAAATTATTCAATTTATGAGTCTGCATTTTTCTAAATAATCATTTTTTGTAGAAAATCAAAAAGTCCATGTATCGAATAGCAAGTTTGTTGTTGACATTTTGACTTTCTGGGAAAAGCGAAGGCTGCTCACACACATATAGATGCTCAGATTGTCAGTTTGGCTGTAAGAATTGACCTGGACCCAATCCCTCCTCTCAGGTCTGCGATGCCATCTAAGCAGTCTATTAAGATACCTTTGTTTCACTGGTAGTTCTCTGTCTGTGCAGAGCAGCATTGCTAAGAATCAGGGGGAAAGCCAACAGAGAGAAAGAACTCTCCACACTCCTCATATTTACCAGACATGATCTAAATACAAGTCAAGTGTAGCTTCAGTCAAAGATTGATAAAAGTGTTCAATATTAATTAGTCTTCTTGCATCTTTTTTATCAACAGTTACTTCCATGGATTGCTGAAACAACAGATGATTCCTTATCTCCTTCTCAGATGTGAGTTTAGAGTGACTTTGCAAATACCAACCGTTACCACTGGGCCACCATTCCGCCCTAGTCGAAGACTGTAACAGTAAGTGGAAGCAAGAAGGTTTTGGAACAGGGCATGTGTAGCAGTGGTTTTGTGTGAGCATGGAAAGGATATACTGAAAAGTCCTAGGAAAGAGAATTTCTTAGAAGTGTAAAATGGTAGAGATTGAACACTTTGAGAGTGTCTGCATTTCAAAAATATTCAGTGAAGTGTTTCCAAAAATATGAAAAGTTCTATTCTTGTGCACTATATAACGCTGGTGCTCAGGAGACTGAAGTGCTATCAAGGGAAAAACTGAGTACTTAAAAATGATGAGAATAAGTCGGAATTTTATGGACACATATTTAGCCTTACATGGTCTGAAAAAGTCTTTTAAGAAAGGGGGGGGAAAAAAAGGCTTGCTTTCATCAGAAGTGTGCTAGTGAATATGAGAGATATATTGTTCAGGTCCATTCTCTTCTACTTGCAATATGACCTGTATGGCCACCCCAATATCAGCAACCTTACACTTCGGTAACCTTAGACATATCATAAACTGGATTTGGAATTAGTTTTTCAAATAAGACATGAAACCTGCTGTGCTCTTTTCCTTTGTCTTTGAGATGAGCTAGATGGGAAAATATATTTAAAACCATATTCTGCACTAAGAAACAAATAGGATTTCTGTGGAAACTCTGTTTGAGGGGTTGACAGCCACTGCAGATGGCAGTGAAATGAACTAGATTTAAAAACAAGAAAGTACTGACATTCCAATCACCTTCATTTCCCCGAAGGAGAGCCTGCACACTTTTACAGAAGTTGTTATTATTGAAAAAGTAATGACATTTCCGGGTCTAACTACATAAAGTTCTGTCTTTGCAGCACGCACTCTTCTGACTGGGAAACAAATGTGCAATGAGACCCTACTGAAGATCTCACTGGACCTTACAAAACTCTTCCTGGAAGCAATGAAAAAAAAAAATGTTCGGGGTGCATTTCTGTTATTTTCATGCAGATAGTTAACAGTATCTGCAGTATACAATAGTTCTCTGTACTCTTATTTTTTTTTCCTCTTTTTCCCATTAGTTTGGTAGCATTTCTTCAGGGATGACTGGAGTGAGTCTGTGCTTGACTCTGATATAAGAGAATGGCCCGACTTGGCTGGAAAAAAGAAGTGGAGGAGAAGTCAAGGAGTGAAAAGGAGAATGGGACATTTAAGCAGTTGATTTTATTCCTGTTCATTTACTCTAAGGTAAAGATAGAGCTAAGATAAAATGTGTTTCAAAATCTGTGTAAATGAGATGCAGCATTTATCCGTAGGTCTGCAAAAAAGGGTAGGTAGCTTTGGAACCAGTGAAACCAATGAATGTCTCAATTCTTTTGAGAAGAGCAGGAGATAAAATGGAAGCATCATGTTGATTGTTCCACCAGCCCCACAGAAGGAAGACCTGTTCCCTTCTCTATGGGTTCTGCAGACAACCATAATTTTTTTTTTGTGTGTGTGTGTGTGTGTGTATGCAATCTTTATTTGAATACTCAAAGAAAGAAAAAAAAATCCAATACAGAAGGATTACATTTAAAACTGCTAATTTCATTTTATATTATCCTGTGCTATTATTTTTTTCATTTTGGATATGGGAAATGGAAGACTAGGTTTGAGCTACCATGCTTCTGGTTTAGTGGCAAGATAACAGATTTCTGGATTTCTAGTTTTGAAATTCTGGAAAAACTGCCACTTTGCATGAGCAGAACAACTCTATCATATGTGCTTCAAAGCCATTATCAGATGTGTTACTTGGTGTATGAATAGCAAAGGCATCAAGTTTGAGAGACATTTATGATGGACTTAACCATGTACACACAGGTCAGTTGCACAGAATGTAAAAACACATTAGCAAGTTCTGGTTTCAGAGGTTTTGGGTTCACTGCACAACATCTTCGTACACCTACATGTTGACCATTTTGAAAGCACAGGAGTGTAAGTTTGCTAATAACCGTGGCAGTGACCACTACAATATCAGCCCAAACTTTGTGTTTGGAAATGAGAGCTTGGGACTGACAGATCTGTGACTCTGTGAAGGCTGATTACACATTTTAATCCCGAGGAGTCTCTTTGAAAGATGTCATAAAATCTGGACCCTATTGGCAAAATTCTCAGAAAGTTCAAGGGGCCTAAGATTTCACTTACCATCATAGTATTCTTCATGGGAAAAATTTTCATTTTAAATTGTGGAACTTTTCAGGTCACTTCTAATCTTTGTGTCATGGGATCACTTTGTACTTAATGTTGGATATTCAGACTGCTCTGTATCTGCACGTGGTACATAATTTCTCTGAATATGTGAAAGATACAATATATATTTCTGAAAAAGACAATCATTTTCTTCCTGTTGAGCTTACCTCAGTTAAATCAACAAACTTGTTTTTGAGGCTTGGTAAAGATTCAATAGCTCGTATTTGTTGAATCAATTCATATCTTTTCTTAAGCTTCTCCTCCTCTTCTTCTAACGCTTGTCGAAGAAGTTCTCGATTTTCCTCACAAACTTCCTGAACTGAAAGAAAAGAATAAATGTCTGTAAGCTGATTGCATACTTTAACAAGCAGTCCATCTGGAGAAAAATTCGTATGCACTTGTGAATAACAATGATAATAATACTGATGCAAAGGTAATTGAAGGAACAATCTGTCACCGGTGGGAAGAATGATTAGAGAAACAAATGATTACTTCCCACTCCAGTATCTATCATTCTATGAAACACATAAATATACTGCATACATAATGTATACATACATAAAGTAGACACTTTGAATTATGGTTTTGTAATTTACGTTCTAATTAAGATGAAAAATGGTAAAATGTAGCAAGATGCATACTCTTTCATTATTTAATAAGAGGATCCTATACAGCTGCAAATATAATTTTGTGGAAATTACTGAATTTCAACAGCTGCTAGGCTGTGCTAGGCCATTTAGATTTGCTGTATCTCCTCCCCTAGCACTTAATGAGGCAAACATGGAGATACACCAGTAGAGAAGAGAGTCCTCTGCTCCACATAGGTGCAGCTACCGGTAGCCTGTTCTTACACTAGATGTGAACCTGGCCCTGCACTGAAAAATGTGTGGTCATGCCAGTCAGAGCAGTCTTCTGCTCCAAATTCATTTGCTAATGCATTAAGTGAAGAATTTTCTTTAAGGATTATTGAGGATGAATAAAGTTTTCTGCTTTCACCATAACCACTGGACTGTCTTGGAGATGCTGTCTACTTTTGGACACGTCTTTTTTTCATTAGCTATGGTCATCTTCTTGGCCCTGTCATCTCTGGAGAAGACATTTTGAGCTGCATGATTCTTTCAAAGTGATTGCTAAGCAAGTCTTCTCTCAGTGACATGAATCACAAGAATCTAAGCTGCATAACTTGATTTCACAGTCAGAACAGTCAATCACATATTTCTACTTGCAGACTGAAGGAAAAGTAGATGTGGAACATACAATGTTGTATTTTTCCCTTTTAAGCAAAGAGTAATTCGCATGGACAGTATCTTGGGATTTAATACCTGTACATTATCATCTTGTTCACAGGAATTTATATTCTGGATCTTTCCTTCCCTTTTATCCTTTTCTTTCAATAAAGATCATAATTGCCCACTAATAAATAATTTGGGGACATTTGTCATTATCTATCATTGTTTTGACAATATATAAATACCTATTTGCTGTTTGTATTTCTGGAGCTTTAGTTTTGCTTGCTTTGCATTCTTGTGTCCTTCCACAACCTGCTCCACCAGCTCTCTCATTTCTTTCTGCTCCTGTAGACGTTTCTCTGCATACTGGTGCATTAGCTCTGCTTTCTAAATCCCAAATGAACAGGTCAATAAAAGTCCTTGTGAAGGGTGATCTGAATGCCTCAAACCATTAAAATAATGCAAGTACAAATGGGTCCAAAGGTCTCTGTCATTCATAAAAGTAACAAAAGACAACGCAGATTTAAGGTTCCTCTCTCTACCTTTTATTTTCCCATATGACCTTCCCGTATGATATTTATATGACATTTGCACTGCTGTTTCCCATTACTCTCTCCCACATGTTCCTAAGAGTAGGTTAAAAGGCATCTCTAGCTCTGCTTGCAAGACAACAAGATGAGTGCCAATCTAATGCACAGCTGGTTCTAACAAAGTGCTCTTCTTGGGCAGAATGTGCTTTCCAGCCATCGTGTTCCTTTCTTTGCCAGAGGAAATGGGCAGCAATCAGTATTTTCACAGAGCATAACCCTTTCTGTACTTTCTATTTTAGATGAAGATCAAGAGCTTTAAAAGAAGAAGATGGGTCACTGTGACCTGTTGGTGGCTGGGGAGAAGCTGCTCAGCACTCCTGGAGGGCCCCATATGTTAGGAGTAACCTGCTGGCATCTGTTGGAAAGTAAAGGTTAACTCCTGAAACCAGTCAGGCTAGGGTAGGTCTGATTCGCACATTTCCAATTCAAAGCATATGGGATATATGGGATATTTCTGTTAAAAAAAAAAAAGCTTATTTGATCTTATTTATCAATGTTATCTAAAATGGGTTCTCTGCCCGATTTTTCCCCTAACATAGGCTCGTGAATGTCAGAGACATGAAATAAATTGAATTAATACCACTTAAAGAAAACAAATACTTTTATACTTGTAGCTCAGTTATGAGTAGAAGGAAATTAGTCACATATTGGTAATTTCATTACAAATGGTACTTAATATGTCAGTATCTGTACAAAAAAGATATTCACAGTGACATGAATGCAGGGGAGAATATTTTTCTCTTTTTTTAAATTCATTTAATTCATAAGCAGTATCAATCAAATCAAATACTTGTAAAAAGTACTTCAAATATATGACCATTTCTATGTCTGGAAGTTACATAACGATTTTTCCATTGTTTGCAAACTCCAGTGAGTAAAGATATATAGACTATTAAGATGCAAACATGTAGTTATAGTAGATATAATCTATTATAAGAATTGCACTGATTGAATATAAGCAAAATCTCCTCAACACTGTATGTATTACCTCTTCTCTCATTAGATCAGCTTTCTTCTTATTTTCTTGAATTACATTCTGATGGGCTAGAACTGCCTCTTCATGACTTAGTTTCCCTTGAAGCCTCTTGCACTCTATTTCAGCCAACTGCTCTTCCATATCTTTTCCACGCATCTGTTTTTGCCACTCCAAGAATTCAGATGGGTCTCTGGCACCTCGTAGCAGATTTTCAACTCTGCAAGAGAGAAAAGATACTGTACCAGGGATCCGGTTTAGCCTTGCTATGATTTGTGGAGTATTTCTGGTTATTTTTTGTGATATAAGGTACTTAACTCTACAGATAAATAAAAACAGTCACTGCCAAGTCTTTCGACTGGTGTGTGTGAGCTCCAAGGGACATCTCTAAGAGGTGTTCCTAATATGTAGAAAGCCAAGAAAATTCAGGGTGGAAGGAAGTGCAGGAGGGCATGGACTTGTAAGTTTTCAGCAAAGCCAAGCTGCAAGAGAGAGCAAACTTTACCCATACGGATTCTCATAGTAATTCGGAGGAGGGAGGATCAGGGCAAAGGTATGTACATTTTTTGCAAAGCAATTTATAATTTAGAGTTTCTCTCTGCTTATAAGTGAAAGGAACATGTACTTTTTATCTTTTGACAATCTTCTGAGCCACTTTAACACAAAGAGCTAAAAAGCTCTTTTTTCCCTTACTACTTTTACTGTTTTGTCTTTTGTCAATTAAATAATACTACAGCATTGTTGTATTGTGGCAAAGAAATATTCAGCTATTAAGCAAAACCACATTCTTATTTACTGTGTTTGTCTGAGAGAGAAAAACATAGCAAAGCTCTGGGGCAGGCCCTTTAAAGTCTTGCAGCCAAGGACTGAATGAGCCAAGAATTAGGGCAGAGACACAGAAATGCACAGTGAATCATTCCCTACTGCTACTCCCAAATGCATACATAAGTATCTGTTCTGTGTTACATGCAGCTGAAGATTAAATCTCATGAATATACAATAGTACTAAGTTAAAGAGAAAATCTATTCCTTTGGTGCATGGATCAAAATTCTGCAGGATTTTTTGTTCACTCATAGATAATATATATACATAAAAAATCACTATACTTATGCAGCTGTTAATGGTAGCAGATAGCATAAGCTAAGTGACGTATAAAGTTCTGATTCATATATCAAAATCTGCTAGACTCCAAGACCAGATCCAACTTTGTGCAGTCATTCCAGGGTTTAAAATGCTAACAATGCTTAGTGCACAGCCTGCTGAGTCAGGATGACCAGTAATAACAGTAAATCAAAATGACATAATGTAGGTTTTATCTTTATTAAAATTATTAGTAAACATTTCCTGCATTTTCAGTTAAAGAATACAACCTGCAGTGGCTGTTCAGGAGTCACTCTCTTCATATTTAGTGTTAGCTGAAAACCTATGCTGGTCCAAAAGCCACAGTCCAGATTCCTTGCCAGAGCCAAGAGCTCTGTGTGCACCAGCACACAACTCACTCGCCCTCCTCTCCACTCCCCCAAGGATTTATCTGCCCGTGTTCAAGGCCAGCTCTGACATGGTGCACCATGCAGCCCAGCCAGACTGCAGTTGTAAGAACTGTGTGAGGATGAGATGTAAGAAGCCTTGTTGTATGTGCAGGGTTGAATCCTGTTTTGCTTGAGAGATGCATTTTGGCTCGTGTCAACAGCTTTTGTCTGTGTCCAAGCTATCCTGTAGATATGCCTGTGCTCAGCTTTGTACTTTGTTGACCCTGTCTCATTGACTTGACCTCCTAGCTTGGTCTCGGCCCCGACTCATCACTACGGACTCATCTGGCAATCACTGCACTGTTGACTGCCCTTGGTTCCTGTCCCTCCCTGCCTTGCCTGCATTCTGTGGGCCTGAGCCCTTGCTCGTGAGGACACTGCTCCTGCATGCATTGCTGCCCACCTCAGCTGCTGACTTCCAGCCTTGTGGAACAGCACAGGATTGGTCCTCTCTGACACCTGATTATAATGGAAATGGACAAGTATCTATATGGAAACAAGTTCATATAGAAAATCTATGTAACTGACCACATAACATTAAAGAAAATGGAAGTATAAGAAATGATTTGGCTTTTATATATGTGCATGTGCATTTTTATAAAGGACACATAAATAGATGGGCCTTTGGCTCATTGGTTATTCTGGGGAGTCAGAACATATATAACATGTGTCTCTATTGGAATTTACAAGTGCTATTCAGAACACGGTAATCCTGCATAGCATCTACAGTAAAACCATAACTTTAATGTAGACTTCATCTTAGTCCACTTTTCTCTGTCAACTATCTTTGCAAAACAGTTTTCTAATACTTTACAACAGACCCATTATATTAATTTATCTGGAGTTTTCTTTATTATTTTCAGCATGGTTACTTATTCTATATCAATATATATGAAAAAGTAATCTGAGAAGGATGCATAATTGTACCTCTTGAGCTCCTGTTCCATTTTCCGCTGATAGAGGGCACCCTCTCTTAAAATAGCTGCTGCATTTAATTTAATAGGTATATTGTCAATCTGTTGGAAAGGGAATGTATATACGATAGTTAGTACTGAAAACCATAAAACAGAGTATAAAAACATTTTAATGGGTTAAATAAATCGACTTAAGACAGCATAAATTTTGCTTAAAGCATTCATCTAGCATTAATCTGACATTAACAATGAAATTGCATGCTGTTCATAAACCACTCAAGCTGCTTAAAAAATCAGCAAAGTCCCCAAGTGGATTATAAATTTGTAATCACTCTTGGACCATGTCAAATCCCATAGAAGGTGTTCACTTCCTTTCTTTTTTTCAGTACCCATAAACACAGTGTGCATGCACATATTCTAAGAGGAAGAAGATGCCATCTGGTTTGGAAAAGGAAAAAACTGCTTCCAATGTCATTTGTATGAATGGTTCTGAAAGAAGATAAGTTATCCAAAAACATTAAAGTAAAATATAGGCAGTATCTTTCACCAAAAGGTGCTGCTTTCACATGTTCCGTAAATAATATTTAAACTTTAAAATACTTGTAATTGGCATCACCTATCTCCATACTAATTTTCTGGACAGTAGAAGCAAATCACAGATTTCACTGAGTTGTCCTCTCCATGGCATTACTTGGACAAGATCCTCTGGCTTCTTTTAAGTTCTTCAAAGAGTTGCCTTCAAATCTCTAGATACTGAGAGAGAAAGGGGAACAATCTCTCTGCCAGTTACAAATGAATCTTGCACCTGACAAGTGCATAAAATTGACCTGATCTGAACAGAGGCCAAGGGGTGCTAGTGGGATAATTATGTAGATTGAGAATACCAAAATTAACCTAGAAATTTCTAAGTACAGTAAATGTATTTTCCACTTAGGTGTTATATTTTAATAGAGAAAAAAATAATCTTCTGGCTATTTCTTAGCAAAATAATAACTCAAAGAATTTCAGAGAGGAAAGTAAACAAACATAAGTATTTTCTTCCTTTCTGTTTGACTCAATATACTTACTTGCTCCATGTCTAATGATATCTTCTTTCCTCTTTGGTCCATTTCTCAGCCCTTCCCAAAGTTTCTGCGTTATGTGGACATTCCACCTCCAGCCTGTGCTTTCTACACTATACTGGCATTAAAGTGGGCCTTTTCTCTGACATATATATAAATGCTGTTATTTTGGCAATTTCACGCTCTGCATTTCCTAACTATAATTTGGATGGAGAATTGAACTGAGACTGATTATGGAAATCATTTTAACTTCAATTTCCCACTTTATTAATCAGAAATTAGACAGAAGCCCATACAGTCAAAATAACTAGGCCTCCCAAAATATGTGCAGACAAGTATAAAAAAAATAACTGAGTAGATTCTTCAATCTCAAGTGATATCGGTGAATATTTAAACTGTACTCTTTCACTTTCTGCCATGTGGTACCTTCTCCT